TCAGTAGAACATTGCCCTCTTGAGCTACTAGTCAGCAAATTCAAGAGGAACCCCAGCTGAGAACCACTGCCATAGATTGTTGATTCAGGGAATATCCACCTCTTTAGTGTTAGCTATATTTGGTACAGGAATAGATCTGTATTGAGTGCTTCATTTTTTAAAAAAAATTTATGCTTTGTAGACTCCAAGACTTGAACACCAAAATTGACTACAGAAAAGAAAACAAACCAACTAACCAACCAACCAACAAACAAACCCTGAAAAGATAGTGGAAGATCATTCCAAGAGGCCTGGACAGTCATTTGGAGTGACTAAGCACAATGGGAAAGCGTTGTATATTCTGTGTAGTGGAGGTATTGTATATCACACATCAAGTGTAGAACAACACTTTGATATCACCCACAAAAGTTTTGCCAAACTTGGTGAAACTGAAAGCAAAGAGTTTCTTGAAGGCAAATTGAGGAAACCTCATTCTCAGTATTTTAGTTTTTGCAACTATCTAAAACAAATCATCTGACAGCTGCTAGCTTTCGAATTGCACTGTACACAGCAAAACACAGTAAGTCCCTCTCTGGTGGGGAGTTTATCAAAATGGCCATGTTGTCTGGGCGATTCCATTTTTCATGATTCCCCAAACAAGGATAAAATTATGCAATCATCTCTGAGCAGCCACTTGGCAGAAATATCGTTAAAGATCAAGTCCTACACATAGCAAAAGCTGTTAGTCAGCAGCTCACCACTGACTAACAAATGAAAGTCTGTTACTCCATGTACTTGTATGAAAACACAGATATAAATAATCATACAAGACTAGCAGTAATTTTTTGTTATGCTGTTGGTGACATCATGAGAAGAGCTGGTGAAATTGGTGTATTTGCTGGAAGAACACAAGGAATAAATATCTACAATGCTGTGACAGAGATTTTCTGTCACAAGACATAAGACCAGAAAAAGTAGTTTCAATTACTAGTGATGGGCACTAGTGGTGGGGGCAACATCTGGTTTCATACAGTTCTTTGTTAAAGAAGCAAAACATTCAGCAATTCAGTTTCATTTTATTATATACATCAAGAAGCTCTTTATGCCAGGGAAAGCAGCAAAAAATCAGATGATCTCTTCAAAGGTGTCACAAAAATGGTGAATTGCATTATGGCTCACACTCTTAAGTTTTGACAGTTTCAAGCACTTCTTGATGAGGTTTAGACATGGTATAATACCTTACATATGTACAATAATATCCAGTGGCAGAGCAGAGGATGAGTACTGGTTAACCTGCTTGGATGAAATTAGAGGCTCTTTATGGGTAAGAATATCCACAGTTCACTCATATGGCCTGACTTAACCTCGTGTTTTTTACAGATTTTACACTATATTTCAGTGTGCTGAACAAAGAACTGAAAGGTATAGGGAAAACAGCAGAAAGGATGTTTTGTGATATCAAAACATTTGAGAGAAAACTGCAGGTTTTTGAAAGAGACCTTCAAAGTGGGCAGCTGAAATATTTTCCAAATCTAAAAATGCATTTAAAAAATTCCACTCTTGCAGACAATCCTACAAGCCATCAGGAAATCTATAAGGAATTTTGTAGCACTGTAGCAGCTGCAAAGGAGAATTTTAGTAACAGATTTTTATAGCTCCATAAGATGGGAGATAACTGTTTTCTCACTTCCTCAGATAAAGCCAAATTTGAAGAACTTGATCTTTCCTGCTTAAACTGGTTAGAATTTGGAAATCTGGAAGTGGAGCTACTGGAATTTCAAAAAAACTCTATCTGGAAAAATAAATTCTGTGACCTGTGTGCAACTCTTGAGAAGATAGAATAGGTAGAGTGTGAAGGAATGACAAAGGACAGCACAGTTGGTAGTTCTGAAAAATGAAATCTTTAAAGTGGAATTCTCTGCCAAATAATTTTCAGTTAATGAAAGCACTTGGAATTGCTCTTCTTACTTTGTTTGGATCTCTTATGTTTGTAAACAGCTACTTTCAGCTCTGAATTATATCAAATCTGATACAAAAAAACAGTCTAACAGATGACCTGAGTGCTTCATGTGTTGCTCTCAAACTGACAAAGTATGAGTCAAGGTCTGACAAATTATCAGCATGCACACAACAGCAAAGATCACAATAATTGTGCATAAGCACACCAAATGTAAACTTTTGCCTTTCAATAAAATGCTGTTTGTATCATTGAAAGCTCTGGTTTTTTCTTTTAAGTCAAAAGATGTTATTGTATTGAGGTTTAATTGCAGTGTTGGCACTTTGCGATAAGTGATTTTCAGCTTGCAGTTTGGACACTCAATCTCTAAAAGGTTCGCCATGCATTTTATCTCAAAAAGAATGTCATCTCTCCTTCCAACTTCTTTGAAGACTTGTCAGGAAACGCTTGAGTAAATGAGCACGTGAAAACAATGGATTTTATTTTGTTTATATCTGTTGATCACTGATTCAGCTCACATGTAGAACTCACGCTTGTGCTCCTTGGGGGAATGCCCTTTGCATCAGTCAGTCTCTGGGGGCTTGAACCTGTCTTGAAACCCAGTTTAGACCTAGAGAATCTCCATCCTCTCCTATGCCATTACAGTGATTCATTGTTGAGGAATTGTAAAAAGAGAGGTTTCAACAGACTCTGAATCAGAAAAATATGATTTTTAACAAAGAAAAGAAGCTATATTCTGTACCTTGTGCCCTGGCAAGATTAACATAAATCTAGAAGGCATTTCCATAGGTAATTTTCAAGTGCTTAAGGAGAAGACCTGATCACTGGGAGCCAACTTGAGTTTATCAAAAACAAGTTAAACCACACACTTTATTTCCTTTTTAGATAAGATTGGTACAAGGAGCAGCCAAGGAGGTAAAACAATGAACTCCTGTGAACAAGATGAAAACAGTGGACCAGATTATAAAACAATTAGATCTTGCTTGGGTGACTATGGCTCAAGAAATCAGATAAATGGTCCCTGGGACCAAAGCCTTCAGCTATACTGCAAGGTTCTATCATGAACTCTTTTATACTTAATTTTTTATGAGTGCTTGGGACAGAAACTTACATATAATTAAATTTGTAGATCACATGTAATTGTTAAAAATTACTAGTTTATTCATTGACACTAAAGATGTATTAGGTACACCTAATTATAAAATCCAACATTTTAGTTTAAAATTAATAGTACAGAGATAGGGGTGTAGCTCAGTGGTAGAGAGCTTGCTTGCCTAGTGTGCATGAAGCCCCTCCATTCAATCCCTAGCACAGGAAAAAAAAAAAAAAGCCAACAGTACCAAGTATTTCAGGTAAACATGTCCTTTAGCAGGAAAGATAGGAATGGAAGGAGGCAGAAGAATCAAAGAAAGATGCAAAGATGCCACCTGAGTTGATTCTGTACTGCTGGAACAACATACCACATACTGATAATTTGTAAAGCATGCAAATGTATTTGCTCACAGTTCTGGGGACTGGGAGTCCAAAACTGAGGGGCCAACATCTGAGAGAGAGTTTTTGCTCCATCATGTCATGGCAAAAGTGCAAAGCAAGGGCAAGAGAGAGACACAAGAGGGCTAAACTCACCCTTTTATATGAAACACACTCCCCACATAAGGAACCCACTCCAGTGAAAAAGGTTTAATCCACTGATGAGGGTAGAGGCTAAGCATCTCTTAAAGGTCTCAGGGGATTGAACTAAGGACCTTCATACTGAGCTACATCCCCAACTCTTTTTATTTTTTATTTTGAGACAGGGTGTCACTAAGTCACTAGGTTGCTCAAGCTGAGCTTGAACTTGCCATTCTCCTGCCTCAGACTCTCAGAGGGCTGGAATTAAAAACAAGAAGGAAAGGAGGCATTGAGGATCTTGCTAGATAAGAAAGCCTTGAGTTTAATCCCCAGTATTGGAAAAAAAAAATCCAAGGAGCCTCCAGAGAGAAGGCGCAAGGATTGAGAATTTAGAATGCAAAGAGGTCATTGCTCTTTTTCTTTGATTTTCATTCTTTTTTTTTTTTTGGTACCGGGAATCATACTCGGGACCTTGCACTTACAAGGCAGGCAGTGGAACCACTGTGCTAAATCCCTGGCCCACTCTTTTTCCTTGAAAGAGAAAGAACACAGTCAGACCCCTTTTCTATAAACAGATCCAAAACTGAGCATAATTTGCCATAAAGAATTATGATGAAAAATACTGCAAATGCTTTTGTGTAACAAACTACAGGGAGGCTTTTTTAAGTACAAAAGAGATAAGAATGAAAGATTTTCCCCCTTGAGTTGTACTTCTTTAAATTTTTCTTACATTCTTTTGTTTTTTGTTTTTTTTTTTTGCGGGGGGGGGTACCGGGGATTGAACTCGGGTCCTTGCGCTTGCAAGGCAGGCCACTGAACCGCTGAGCTAAATCCCCGGCCCATTCTTACATTCTTAATAAGGAAAATTAGATAAAATAATATCTGGCTATGATATACATGTCTCTAGCCATCTTTTTTAAGACTAGACTGAACCCACTGAAATGATAACTAATAAATGTGAATTAATACTGCAGGAAGCCATGTACAGAAGCAGTTCAGAATGCAAGCTCTGAAGTTAGCCTGGCTGGACTCCTAACTCTAATAGTGATTGCATGAGTGACCTTGGGCAAACTGGTTAACCTGAACTGTCTCAGTTTCTTCATCTATAAACTGCAGATAAATAGATTATCTACTTTGTAGGGCTGTGTGTAAAGATTACAAAAAATAATACAAGCAAAATGATTACAGTGGTGATGGCACAGAAACAGACCAAACCCGGCAACTATCAGATTAAAAAAGAACCAAGATGATGACAACTACGGAAAGCGCTTGACCATTAACCCAAAGACAGATTTCAATTACCAGGTGACATGTGTCTGTATACAAGAATTAACCCAAGGACACTTAGTTTCTTTTCTCTCATTGCTGAGACAAAATACTTGATACCCAAAGTTAAAGGGGGCAAGGTTTATTTGGCTTACAGTTTGTAGAGGTTTCAGTCCATAATCGGCTGGTTTCAAGGCAGGGTGGCAGAGAGGTAACAGATCAGGGCTACAGAAGACAGTAAAAAGAATAATAGAGTTTAACAGCATCTTTCTGCCCCTTTTATCCCATCCAGACTACTGGGCTTAGGGAAACAAACAATCAATCAGTCATGTGTACTGGTTTAATAATCAAAAACCCTTAATCCCAGAATTACACATTTCAGATTCAGCCACTTCTGAAAAAGCCCCACCTCATCTGCATGAAGCTTTTGGAGTCATCTAAACACAAGCCATAAACAGACACACTGGCTTTTTCCAATGGCAGTCTGACTCATTTTACTCCATAATTCCTGACCTGGTAAGCTATCTCTTTTGGTCTCTTCATTCCTGACTCACTTTGGACCAGACTTGATGTCAAGCTCCTCCCTGACATCAGTGACTGATTTAGAGCACATTATAATAATCCCTTCTGCTTCCTACCCTACCTGCTCCACCTTCGCAACCTGACCCACCTGTTCTTTAAGGCTCTCAGGAATGCACATGCCAGTAGCTACTACTGTCCTCACCATTCACTCACTTTGACAGATGCAGTATTCCAGTTCTGGTAAAGCTCCAAAAGAACCTTTGTGGTTGTAACAAGTTTTTATGAAAAAGAGTTAAAATTGCCAGATGTGGTGGCACCCACCTATAATCCCAGAATTTGGGAGCCTGAGGTAAGAGGATTACTGCAAGTTTAAGGTCAGCCTGAACTACATAGTGAAACCCTGACTCAATCAATCAAGAAATAGAGTTAAAATTGAGGGAAGGGCTTTGAAGATGTGTTTGTGTTTCTATAAGTCTTATTAAATATGGCATCCACCATATTCCATTAGCAATTAGATAAATCATATATTTAGGTCTTATTCTTTTTAAAAAATAGATATGATAGAAAACTTGGTTATTGACAAATCTATGTCTTCCTACCCAAATCAGAGAACATTTAGCCTACTCACCCATAAACCAGGTACCATCATTCATTTGGTGGCCCACACCTAACTTTACAAATATAATAGCTCATGGAAAATAATGAATTTTCATAAAGCTACCCTTGCTGAAATTACATCTGAAACAGGACTACACATAACCATTTGAAGTGGGAACTAGCAACCAATACAATGATGTAAAGTGTTATTTTGACTATAAAGATTGAAATGTTTAGGGCCAGGGATTTAGCTCAGTGGTACCACCGCCTGCCTCACAAGCACAAGGACCTGAGTTTGATCTTCGGTACCAAAAAAAAAAAAAAGAAAAGAAAAGATTGAAATGTTTACAAGAATAAGTAGTCGCAGAAAGGATGTCCTTTGGTACAAGTTGTATACAAAACACAAATTTGTTGAAGTTAATATTTATATATTCTTTAAACACTATACTTTTCACTCTAGGTTAGCACATTTAAAAAGAGGCATAATTGGGGAACTACCAGACTTTTCCCATTATATCACAACGCCTCCCTTTGGATTAGTATATGAGCAACATCTAAGTGTGGAAAGCTTGACTATCTAGATAGGCTTGTGGTGTCTGTCCTTATCAATCTTCAAGAGGTGCATGCCATATAATTTTAACCAGTTTGGTTAGACAGTCTTTTGAGGTTCTTCTCTACATTTTAGTCTTCAATTATGATCGACTTACTTCTCAGGAATTTTATGACAGGCTATCCACACCACCTGTGCACACTGACAGGCGGCCTGATCAGAAGTTAGCATTGCTTGAGTGTCGGGAATTGTCCCACACTGTCTTCCGTCTGCCCAGGCCTTGATTCCCAACCTTAGCAGAGGCTAGGTTTGTAATGGTTTTCGGGCTCCTCCCGTTTCCCCAGCGCAGACCGGCGAGTTTCCTCCGTGTGGGATCAGAGCGACCTAGCAGAGCCGGGTTTTCGCGCCCCAGCCCCGCTTCGCGAGTGTGTGGTGGCAAGGGCAGACCTAGGCTTCCGTCTTCCCCACACCAGGGTTTTGTTGCTTGGTTTTTTTGGTTAGAGACAGCCACTTCAAATGTTTTCCGCAGAAACATCGGTGGTAATGTGACGAGACCTGCAGTTCTCCAGGGCCTGCGACCACCCTCCAGGCGGCTGAGGAGGAAGCGCGGGCCTCGCCGCCCGCCGGAGGGCGTGGTTAGGGCCCGAGAGTGACGCGGGCAGAAAACAACCACGACCCGCTGTCAACTGCCAAGAAATGTCCCTAGGCCACCGACGTATTAGTAGGCCGTTTCTAATTGTAAAACCCGTAATAGTATGACCCACAGTAGTTGTTCTTGACCCCAGTTGTTCCCCAAACCTATTACTGAAGCACAGGATACTAATCTTTAGACCTGGCTGCTTTCGTAACCAACTTTTAGTTTAGTTTGTTTTGTTTTGTTTGACTGTTACCCTGGTCCAGTTCTCTTTTCCACAAACCTGATGTTTTCAGAGGCCATTAAGTCACCTTTTTTTTTTTTAGTTTTCTTTTTCTTTTTTCTTTTTTTGATACTGGGGATTCAACTTGGGACCTTGCGCTTTCCAAGCAGATGGCGGAACTACTAAATCCCCGGCCCAAGTCACCTTTCTTTGCCTACTATATACTCAGCCTATGCAATACAGTCAACAACAACCAAAATCTCATGGAATTAAAAGCTGTAGTTTTTTGTTACAGTATAATCATTAAAAATGTAATGTACATAATAGTTTTTAGAGAAAATACAGGATATGATATATCTATTACAATCCTAAATTTATGAGAGAAAAAAAAATACATGTGCAACCCAAAGTATAGGAGTAAAATGCAAAAGAATGAAGTTAAACCTTTAACCTATACCATATACAAAAATTAACCCAAAAGTGTATCGAAAACATTAAGTGTAAAAGCTAAAAATATAAAGACTCTTAGGAGTCGATGTAAAGGAAAATCTTTATTCAGTGGATTTGGTGAGAATATTTTGGCCACAACACCAGAAGAAAGGGCAACAAAATGAGGCAGGCGGTGGAAACACTGAGCTAAATCCCTGGCCCCAAACAGGCAACAAAATGAAAAAAAAAAAAAAAAACCTAGAAGAAATTGTACTGTATCACGATTAAAATCTTAGCTGGACATGGTGCCCAGGAATTTCAGACCAACCCGGGCAATACAGTGAACCTGTCTAAAAAAATTAAAACTTTAGGTTTGGGAATGTACCTAGCATGCACAAGGCCATAGGTTTGATCTCCAGCACAAAAAGTAGAAATTAATAAAATGTTTTGTGCATCAAGGGATACTATCAAGTGAGTGAAAATACAGTCCACAAAATGGAAGAAAATACTTGCAAATCATATATCTGATAAGAAATTAATATCCAAAAATGTGTAAAAATCCTACAGTTTAACAATAACAATAAAACCCAAGCAACCAAATACCAAAGTAAGCTAAGTTCTTGAATAGACATTTCTCCAAATAAGATATCCAAATGACCAATAAGCACATGAAAAGATGCCCACCATCATTAGTCACAGGGAAGTGCAAACCCAAACCCAGGCCTCTATTCTTATTAGAGGGCCACAGTGACATTTTGGATCCCCTGAAATCAGTGTTAATTCAGAACCAGTGTCCATTTAGTCCCTGACATGTCTGATTATTTCCCTTCTCCTCTCTTTTGAGGACATGCCCACCTTCTTTATTCTAACGTTCTTCCCACTCTCACCTAGAAAAAATCTCTCCTCTACTTCACCCCATCCTGTTTCCTTCTCTGATCCAGCATATGGACTGCTGAGTAGTGCTGGAGAAAAGGTTATAACTATGAGAATTCATTCCATGGTAATTCTTGCCTGCTAATCCTCAGGAACGGGGACTTCAAGTGTTGCCCACCAGTCTTACTTCTGTTTCCCTACTTATTTTTTGTACTGGGGATAGAACTCGGGACCTCACACTTGCGAGGCAGGCAGCAGCACCACTGAGCTAAATCCGCAGCCCTGTTTCCCTATTTCTAATTTCTTATGATATTGTCATAGTAGCCACATCAGACATTTTCTACTTAACCTCCTCAAATTCAACTACTTCCATATACAGATTGTCCAAGACTTGTGATGGTTTAACTACAGATTTTTCAACTTTTAGGGTGTGAAAGCAATGATACTCAGTACAAACTATAGTTGGAATTTTTATCTCTTCCTGCACTGGTCATCCTAAATCCATACCCTCTTGAAATGGTGGTGGGCAGCACAGCCATCTGCAGAACCCAGCCAGCCCCTGACAGCAGGGGGAAATGACTGAAACCCCATAGTGGACTACATAGCCAGCATATTTTGGATAATAAATTACATGAGAAATTGAACACTTAATTATGAAATAGGCTTTGTGTTAGATGCTTTGCCCAATTATAGGCTAATGTAAGTATTCAAGGTACAAATGTACACTGGGAGACAAGGCTAAGTTAAATGATTGAATGCATTTTGACATATTCCAACTTATGAAGAGTTTATGAGGATTTAACCCCATTGTAAATCAAGGGACATCTGTTCATAGTTTTACTACTCCCCACCTCAACCAACATCTTTCTGTTTAATGGTTTTCCCCATTTTACCCTTCTTTGTTCCCTTGATTATTCTTTTGTCATCCTCTCCCAATGTAAGTCGACTACTTTCAACTAGCTCTGTCTATTACCATTTTAGCCTAAGCCAAAAAGCAGAAACTAAAAATATTCAAATCTTCTTTGGCCTTTGATCCTTTTGCTACTGCCCTGTTCTTCCTTTCATCTAACCTTCTGGCAAGAGGTGTGTGTGTGTGTGTGTGTGTGTGTGTGTGTGTGTGCGCGCACACGCGCATGCTTACACATGATACAGATTGAATCTAGGACCTCCTGTACCCAATGAACATACTCTACTGCTGAGCTACACCTCCAGCCCTGAGAGAGTTGTGCCTACTCACTGTTTATATTTCTTCATTTCCCATTTATGTTTGTTTTTTGAGACAATATTTCCCTATGTAATTCAGGCTGGCTTTAAACTCACTACATAGCCCAGGCTGGCCTCGAATTCAAGGCAGTCCTCCTGCCTCAGCCTCCTGAATGCTGGAGCTACAAGCATGT